AATATTTCAAGTATTACACCAGGGAGTGGAGTTATAAGATGATCAGTTGAACATCCTTTGCTAGGAAATAATATACAATATATATATTACATTTTTATACATATATATACGAAATTGTAAACACTTTTAATGAAATTTCTGGCTTTATTTCGGATTTTTTTTCTCATTTTTTGTTTTCTTTATCTTATTGTAGAGATGCTGTGAATGATTATGTACTAGCAATGAAGAAAATGGCTTGTGAGATTCTTGAAATGTTAGCTGAGGGATTAAAAATTCATCCAAAAAATGTATTTAGTAAGCTTTTAATGGATGAAAAAAGTGATTCACTTTTTAGGTTAAATCATTATCCTCCATGTCCTGATGAATTTCAAGAATATAATGGAAGAAATTTAATTGGATTTGGTGAACATACTGATCCACAAATTATTTCTTTATTAAGATCTAATAACACTTGTGGACTTCAAATTTCACTTGTTGATGGACATTGGATTTCTGTCCCACCTGATCAAAATTCATTCTTCATCAATGTTGGTGATTCATTGCAGGTATAATAATCCTCTAGTTTTGATACCTGACTAATTCAAATTCATATCGTATAATAATATACATAGATATGCATCTTAACTTTGTCTAAACTGATAATTAAACAATACTTTAACTTTGATAATGCATATTCTCATTTTAACATCTATGTGTCATATCAGCGTTGAGTGTCCACGACACACAAGGTAAAAACGAATTGAGATATCTATATGTGCATTATGAAAGTTGAAACGTTTAGAAGATGATTGAGACCAATGTATTATGTTTTCTTTTTTAAGAAATTGATAATAGTGAAAGCTTATACCTTTTTTTCAAAGTGTGATACATGTTTTGGAATACTAACTAGTTTAGATTCCACATTGCATTATGTTCATTAAAAGAACAACATTCACTGTTAGATTTTTTTTTAATTCTCAAGATTCGAATATAAAATATCTGATAAAAATAAAAAAATCTTATCTATCTTATCACAAATTTTTATGGGGGGTATTATAGTTTTCATTTTCCTTTTATTTTTTCCTCATTGCATAGTTGTTAGGGGTGAAAATATTAGAAAGATGGACATGATTTATCCTAGGTTTAGTTGTCTTTTACATTAGATTTTGGGGTTTTTTCTTCTTCTTAACAATATAAAAAGAATACCATGTTAAAGAAGTAACACCTGCCGCTAAATATGTATTTTTGTCACTCTTCGTATATGTTCCTAAATCCTTTAGCGATATTGGTTCTAATGACGCTTAACTAATGTCGATAAAGACTTTAGCAATCTTTATTAATGTCAATGTTTAATGCCGCTAAAAGTCGTTTTTGTTGTAGTGTAACACTTTCATACCAAATATCAAAATTGTACACTAGACAATTTTACTATTATAGTGTATATATTAGTAATGGGGGGTAAATTTTTTATTTTTTTTGTAGGTGATGACAAATGGGAGGTTTAAGAGTGTAAAACATAGAGTTTTGGCCAATAGTGTAAAATCAAGACTCTCAATGATTTATTTTGGAGGACCACCATTGAGTGAAAAGATAGCACCATTGGCATCACTATTAATAAAAGGGGATGAAGACAGCTTGTACAAAGAATTTACATGGTTTGAGTACAAAAATTCAGCATATAAATCTAGATTGGCTGATAATAGGTTGGTCCTATTTGAGAAATTAAAGTAGTATAGCCTCATCATAATGATTTTTTCTTTTCTTTTTGTTCATAGCAACTATGGGTAGTCAAATAGTGATTTTTCCATAGATAGAATTTCTCTTTTTTATGTCACGAGTTCGAATAGTGAAAGCAATTCTCAATCTTTGTATTAAGGTAGACTGTGTATATCACGTCTCTTAAAGCATGGTCCTTTCTCGGATCTTGCTAACACGAAATATTTTAGTTTTATGTATCAAGTTGTCTTCTTTCATATATTCTTTGCAGTTACTTATCTTGTTAATAATACGACTTCAAAGTCACTATTAATAGGGAAAAGAACCTGAAAAATATTTCAATTGTGGCCGAAATTGTTGTTACGATATCAAACTTTATGAAGGATCTTTTACCCTCTCCACTTTTTAGGAGTGTATTTTAAAAATATATGTGTCCGCGTGGATACTTTACTATTTAAAATGATGCAATATTTATGATGTCCACGTGGGCACATATAGATCCTTAAAATACATTATTAAATAGTGCAGGGGTAAAAAATTATCGTCGTAACAACAATTTCGATCAAAGTTCATATATATTTCAAACTTTTTTCCTGTGTTAATACCAGCCATTTATTCTTGAAAGTGCCACTTGGTTTCTTTGAAGTTTCAAATTTCCTAAAAATGTATAATGTACATATCAAATCAATTAAATTAAAAATAGTTGATGCAATATATATATATATATATATATATATATATATATATATATATATATATATATATATAT